CCTATGCTTGAAATGACCATTCAATATCCTGACAATGACGAGTATGTGTTATCATCAGGATATTGAAAATAATGACTAAGATAGAAATATTACAAATCCCCTGTAAGGGTCAACCTAATAAGCCATTATAAACTTAACTTAAATAATCAAGTGAGCTAATCAAGCATTTAGCCCAGTCCAGAGGGAACTGGACATAGAATAGACCAGATTTGATGAGGAATGAAAGAAAAGAAGCACGGGGAAGGTCTGAAGCATGGATGCTTCCAGGAAAGATCCACACAGGGTGTTACAGTGGGAGGATCAGGGCCCAGATCAGTGCCTTCGACTAGTGAATGAAGGAGGCACTAAAAGGGCAAAAAGGCAGGAGAAAGGGGAGCCTGGAATCCCCCAAATTTAGTATCACTTACATCAGCTATTTCCATAGGGATAGTTGAATCACAATGTTTTAGAACACTCACCAGATCACATCATTCACCAGCTAGTGTCCAGGAGCTGGAATGGATGCTGGAGTTACAGAACCAGGGAAACGAGAGAAGGGAGCATGAAACAGCATGTGTTAAGAACTTCCAGTCTCAGCCCACACCAGCCTTCCCTTTGCTGACTGTGTTGCAGCCACACTCCTGCATGTGCTGTACCCTCAGCTGGGAAAGCTACCTTCTCCCACTCTCTGCTAAGGGAATTCAGACTCCTCTGTATACTCAGCGTAAATGTCAATCCCCAGAGAGGCCTTCCCTTTCCATACCTACCCCTCAACTCTAAGTTATATTCCACTGTTCTCTGTGGGGTTTTTTTCCCCTTCAGAGCACTCACTGCAATTTGTAAGTATATATTTCTTTCTTTCTTTATTAATGTCTGCATACTCCCTGTGAGTACCCACTAAGAGCAAGTTCTTAACAAAAATCTGTTCAATGAATCATTGTCAGCCACTGTGCTCTCTGTTTCAGACATGGTAGCTTTTTAAATCTTCATAATAACCCTCTGCATTAGTTTTTACAGATGACATTAAGGAGGCTTACAGCTCCAGGGGGTTCATTTTCATACTCTGGAATTGTGCAATGCACACCCTGCACAGTCGTATGTAGCAACCCTGCTCAGCAACCCCTTGTTCTAAAGCATTTAGGAATGGTATTATCTCCAGAGGAAGAGTATATCTCTGCTTTTCCCACCTTTGTGACAACCATGGCTTAGAGGGGTTAATAATAAACAGAGAGTCCAATTCGCTTCTCCCATCACATCAGTCCTGGAGCTAAACCCTGGTTCCTTGAAAGCCCCAAGAAAAGACTCTTCTGTTTGTATATCATGTTAATAATTAATTGATTGGTTAATCAATTAACTAACTTCTGTAAGGTTTGTCCTGTTCTCCTTTGTCCCCTCCACGTGTCCTGGTCAGGGTCAGTGGGCCTGTGCTCATAAGCATTATGCTGACCTGAAAGACTCCAAAGGAAGGACCATTTGGAAACATGTACAGGATCTATGCTTTTTAATGCCTTGAAATTTTATGAGGAAGCTGCTCATTTTATACCTGTTGAGAGTAGTTTTCTTAAAGTACTGACTGAGCATTGACTGAAAATATACAGCAATTCCTGGTTATACCAACATGGGTAAGTTAGGGTCCTGCCTGCAAGGAGCTCTCAGTCAATTGCGACAACAGGAAAAATAATGAAGACTTCTTGGAAGAGGAGGGTCATGGGGACAGGAGAGGAGGAAGGAGGGGAGGCCATGAGAATTATCCTAAGCAGAGGGTAGAGGCTGTGGGAGGGGCTCCGTGATTTCAGAAACGGAGTAAAAGCAGAAGCCCAGGCTAGAGAAGAAATGGTGCTCCCTTTTACCTGGGTACTTATAGAAGAGCCTCTGGGTTGTAATATTTTATAAGATACTGCGAAGACACTGGTATTAAAAAATTTCATCTGAGATGTAGACCAATTTACTCTTCTTGCTGCTTTGGATCCACAGCCCTCAACCCTAACCCTCACCAGCTCTAATGTTAACCAATTCCTTTGCTAGATGAAGGACAAAGGCCAGTTTTCAAGAAATGCCAAATATTCCATTCCCATCAGGCTTTAAAAATGTTTCTTATACTCCAACACTGTAAACACCAATTGAGTTATCCATAAGGCCTCCCAGCTAAGATCAGTTGTTCCTGGCCCTAGCTGTTCATCACTTGTGGTGCTTTATAAAAACACACATGCTCAATCTCCTGAAGTTGAACTTAGGTATACCCTCAACTCATCAATTTTTCTCCTAGGGAAATACCCATGAGAAATGCAAAATCTGCCAAAAGACATAGAAGAATTTCATGGCAGCACTATTTGTAATAGTTCACAAGGGACCACCCAAGTGCCCAGCCACTGTTGCATGAATAAATAAACTGCAGCATATTCATACAGTGGAATAGTAGACAGCACCGAAAAGGGATGACCTTACACTACACACAGCATCATGGATGAATCTCATAAACACAAAATAGAGTAAAATAAGCCAGATTCTAAAGAACACATACTGCATGATTCCATTTGGGTTTTATACTAAAAATCAAGAAAAAGTAATGCATGTGTTAGAAATCAGGATAGCGGTTATGCTTTGGAAGGGGACAGACTAGAAGGGGACACAAGGGCTGTTGGGGGACTTCTCAGTGCTAATTACGAGTGTGTTCACTTTGTAAAAAGTCATCAAGCTGTGTATGTATGATCTGTACACCTTTCTGTATGATGTTTTATTTCCATAAGATATTTTTAAAAGATACATCTGCCTAAATTTCGTCCTTATTTATTCTGATTCAGTAGATCTGGGGGAAGGTCCAATTACCAGTATTTTTTTAAAGCTCCACAGATGAATCTAATGCACATCCAGATTCAGGAACCAGTGACTAGGATCACTTAGTCTAGATTTCCCTTGTTTGCATATTAAAAGAGCTTATTCATTGTTTTTCTTTTCTTTTTTTCCCCCTACAAATAGGAGTAAAATAGCCCCCACAATCATATGCACTCAGATGTTTCCATGCTACTGAAATGCATGAAGGTTGAAAGGCATTCCTTCCACTTCTCCAGGTCAGTTGCTCATTAGCAAAAGTATTTGTACTCTGGGGTTTCAAGAATCCCTCACAGAATCTATTTATTCAATCAGCCAACAAGCATTTATTGAACACCCATAATAATAAAAGCGAACAATTGCTAACCCTTATTAATCACTTCCTTGGGCCGGGCATGATCTTATGTCCTTTGCATATGGTCTTTAATTTAAATAATATAGTAAATAACTAAACTAAATAATTTAAGTAATAATTAAATTAAACAATATAGTAAAGGAGTTAAGTGCACAGACTCAGGAGCCAGGCTACCAGTGTTGAAACTCTAGCTTCAGCTAACTCAGTGGTGTGACTTTGGGAAAGTTACTTTGCCTGTCTGTGACTCAGTTTCCTCATCTGTAAATGGGGAATAAAAATAATACTAATTCCTGAAACCAGGGTGAGGAGTAAACGATGTTTGGCACCTGTAAATGCCACTTACTATATACAGAAAATGCTACATAGGCATTAGCTCTTATTTTTCACAAAAGTCCTATGAAATAGCTACTATAATAATGCTAAATTCGTACGTGAGGAAACCACACTTAGAGAGGTTCCATGACTGGTCCAAATTCACACACCTAATAAATAGCAAAATCAAGATTCCAAGCCGAGTTGCTTGACCTTAATGCTCAGATATTTTGCTATCATGCTCTCTCTTTTTCACTGACATATTTCTCTCTCAGTTGTGTTTTTGTGGACACAGGGATTACATATCTGAAGAGAAGCCTCTTTTAAAGAGATCTTTCAAGAGGCTGGAAAGTTGGAGTATTTCATGAGCCAGCTCAAAATGACAAAACATGCCCCCTGCAAGTGCGGAAGGGAGCCCTTCCCCATTAAGTTTCCTTTTCCAAGGAAGAATGAATTTGGGTAACCTTTCTCCCTCCCTGAAGTTAAAAATACCTTTTAAAAATGAGTTTGTCATGTCTTGTTGCATAACACTGAGCAGTATTTATAGAATGTGGGAATGAATGTGAAAACTTGTATTTTGAGGCATGGCATATTTGAAGTGGTGTTTTCATTAATATCTCTGACTTGAATTTTTCCTTCCAAGTTATTGGGGTGTTTATTAAACTTTTAAAGTAATTTTTCTGTCTCAGAATGGGGCACAGAAAGATAGAAACTGGGAAGAAGCACATTTTTAGACACCAACATTGTCAATGACTGAAAAATCAATTGCATATATTTTACCTGTCAGCCTGAGATCTGCCTTTCCCTAACTGAGAGTATGGGGTACTTTGTCCCCTAATATTGAATACTATTCATTAGAGAGTTAAAAATTGTGGTTTTCTTGAGTTAATTTTAAATAAAATGCTTCACTGAAACAATATCTCAGTAAAAAATTTAGGTACCAGCATTTAACGGAAAAAACTGTGATTTTTTTACCTAAGATTTGTATTACATTGATTCCCAAATAATGAGGTTGGCAAACCTATTATGACTCTCTCTCCCCACACGAATAAAAGTGCTGCTATCATTCTGTTGGTTTTTAAAGGATGGCTGCAACTACCCTGAAATGTATTTCCAAGTTTTGCCAAGTACTAACGTGACTGATTTTATTTCTTTTATTAGATACTTAAGTTTCCCTTTCTTTTTTGTATATTGCTTAAAAACAAATCTGCTTTTACAGGCCTCCTGCCACCTAAAAGACTCCTTGTTCAGCAAAGAGAAGATTTCTTGCTGATCAGATCCTCCCCATTCTTCTCTTTAAGCAAACACTAAAAGCTTTCAGCAGCTGCCCAAGATACCACCTTAAAAACCCTTAAGGCAGTTTGAAAGGCCTCCAAAAAAGCATGACATTCAATCAAAGTTCAGTAAGGAAAGTTTTAATGAATAAACTTAGTAAATTAGAAAGCACTGCAGCAGGGTGATTAACTCTCATTTGTGCATTAGTGTTGAAATTAATTAAAATGTTTAAGCCATAGGAGGCTGGTTACCTCGTCAGGACCTGGCTCTGCCCTCAGAGTCAGTCTGGATCCAGGAGTGATTCATCTTACACAGATGAGAGGGGGTTAAAAAGAAAAGAACAGTCAGGACAAATGTGTTTTCAATGGTGCTTAACAGCAGGGAGACCATTGAGACTTCAGAGCAATGCTACTGGAGTGTGACATCATAATACGGTATGTACATGTGGAGTGGAGTGAAGAGGGCTTTGCACACACAGGCCTTTCCACTCTTTTGGATTGGGTGCCGCGTATATTAATTTCTCTGCCAGGTGGAATGCTGCAGTCTGCTCTCTTCAAGACCACTCACAAATTACCTGTTCCCCTGACTCTTTTTAAACCTGCTTGCCACTGTTAACATTCACCCTTGGGAGTCCCCCGCAGTGCAGTGAGGGAAAATGTGGGCTTGGCACCCTGGTGGATTTCCCTAAGATCAACTCCATAGGATGTATGAAAATATAATTGCCTCAAACTCTCAGACACACAACAATGGATCTATTATTCAACTCCCTTGACAATGTGCAGAGCAGAAACCATCTTTTGAAGAAACCCAAAATATTCCATTCCCATTAGGTTTTTAAATATCTCATAAGCTCAATTTCTTTCCAGAACTATGGGTCTGTGGATCTTCTTATAGAAACCCGTTACTGTGTAGCTGTTTAACAGATCTGTGCCTGCTTAAAATTATAAATGACAGCATATTTCATAAAGAGAAAAGTCCTTTTCGACAGGAAAACAATCTCAGTTGGTTCTCCTTGGATAACAAATGGGCTTGTGTCAGGCCTGGCACCATAGCTGTTTCCAAAAAGCGTAGAAATGGACGGCTATTTCTAGTTCAGGGGTCCAAATTAAGGGGTGTGCAGAAATTAGTGACTTCCTGCAAATCCGAATTATTTCCACCTGAAGAAAACTGTCATGATTTGCTATGGATCTACATTCATAAATTTAAAAACTGTCCATCTTCCTTGTTTTTTGCTCTAAAGATTTCTTGTCAGGCACAATGTCAGAGGTCACTGTCAGAGTGTCCCTTTGGTACCCATTAACTATAACCAGCAAACTTGTTCACTATTGATCCACTATGTCTAAGTACCTATTATGGTGGCTATAAAAGGTAGCTTCGCATCTTTCTAAACAGATAATTCATAAAAGCCAAGTGGTCATGGCTTGTGATATATTATTCTTTCACTGTAACTGTGACTGAATGAAAGAGAGAGAGGAAGAGGAGGGGGAACTAAGGGTCACGCGTGTTAGACTAGAGAGGTAGAAAGTTGTGTGTCGATCGGACACATTAACATCCGTATAACTAATAAAAGGCATTAATAACATTTGTTCATGACCTCATTATCGATTCATTCCACTCAGAAGCAGAGGCTCCTAGAGAGAGTGCAGACAGAGTTGAGTTTTTACCACCAAGGTTCAGCTGAGGTTGACTTTAACATGGAAGTCAACTAAAGACAGTAAAATATACTCTGGCAGCAACACCCTGGGCCCTGGGATTGATGCATTTTATGGGTAATGCATCATCTGGGGGCAAAGCAAATGTTTGGGGAACAGAAACCTCAAATACGAAGTGTTAAGGATCTGCCAGGCTGATGGGTTCAGAACATCCCCGCGTTCACTGGGGATCGTTTGATTCATCATCTTTGCCGTTTCGTATTGAACATTCAGCAAGCACTGCAGAGACCATTGCGGATGTTCCCACGTTCCCATCCTGAAGGAAAGCATCTCATTAGGAGAACAATCAGGATCTAATGAGTAAGCCTTGCTCACAAGTTAACTGACATTGGGCTCATTTAATGCCGTTTACAGTCTTCTAGCCACTGGAGAACCTGGAGGTGGTGTGCTTTTCTCGACTACAGTTTGGAGGAAAGTAAATTGAGATAAATCATGGTGAGATGAGATAGTTAAAATGTCATGCTCCAGAAGTTTGAATGCATCCTTCAAGTTCTGAACAGTAAAATGCAACTGAACACTGAAACAAGGGAAACAAAGAAATAGCAGATAACTAGCAATACAAATCCTCCTTCTTTGACAAGGATGCTTCATGGGGAGAACCAGAGAGCACCTTTTCAGAACCATCCCTGAACAGACACCCAGGGACGTGCATGCACACAGCCACACTCCCTCCTGATTTTACTTTCCTTTTACTATTTTACATATTATGGTTGAGGGGATGATGCATCAAAATTGCAAGGTTTCAGAGACAAGCAATCAACCACCAGCTGTATTTCTGCTGACAGATGTTAGCTGAGGGAAAGTCCCTCGGCTGGCTAGGCAAATTACAGATTGTCCCCAGTAAGTGTGGGGATAATGCCGCTAACGAGGATGTGTTTGAGAGTCAGAATAGACCCTCTTAGCTTCAAGAAAGGGCTGAAGAAAGGTTCAGGGGTGGGCATGGGCGGATGTGGGAGCTGTGGAATTGCTTCTCTGATTTCTCCTTACAGAGTCCCATTCATTTCAAGTATCTACTGACTCTAAAACTCTTGAAGTTAAAACATCCTAAAAGAAACCCAAGGATGACCTATTTCCTGGAAGCAACCAATTTAAGTTAATAATCTGACCCTGGGAAAAGCTTTTCTTCTTTATGTGAAACCCCAGTCATTGGGGCAACCAATGTCTTGAGGGAATTCCCCTCCGATATCTGTGGTTCTTAAACTTTTTTGTGGATCAGAAACCCTTCTGAGAATATAACAAAAACTATGATCTCTGTCTTGATAAAAATGTTCACATGCACACAATTTTGCATCTGTCTTAGGAATTCATAGCATCCCTAGGTTGCTGTGGGTTAAGAACCCGTATTTTAAATAGGTTTTTTTTAAAAAACAGTTGAGCATTGATAGAATCTGCCCTTCCCTCTTCAATTCAATAAGGAAAAAATGAAGCTTAGAGATGAGCCAGCCATTGTAAACTTCAGACTCCAAATAATACTGTCCTTAATAATAATAATATTCACGTGTCATGTTAGTGGTCTCTACGGACATCTCTATTCTTCATAATAATTCTTATTTTTATTTAATGTTTGGAGATGTAAAAAGTGACTACTGTTACAAAATGTGACCTCTGTGAGGTTTACAACCTGCTGAATCAGATGAGATATGAAAGTGTTCAATATAATGCATGACTTAAAGCTATGTTTTTTAAACTTTAATAAGAAATGTCTGACTCTTAGATCACTGTTTCTAAAGCCTGGCAGACAGAAACATGTCTCTTACAAGGGTCTAATCCATATAGCAAGCAGAGGTCCAGCAGGGAGAAATAGTGCCTTTCCCCTTTATCTCATGCAAACCTGAACCTTTAATTTACTGTGAATAAACTTCAGCTCCAGCAACATTTTAATAACTATAACTCATCTCATTTTTTTTCCCCAAATGTTACTCAGGTATTGTGGTGAATGGCAGGATGCAGAGATAAGCAAATCATCGTCTTTGTCCTCGGGAGGCTTACAGTCTTATGAGATGACAGATGTGTGTATGCACTCAAGCGGCCAATGAAGTGGCTTAGACAGCATCCATTGCCTTCTTCCTCCTTCCTGGCAGAACTCCATCTTTATTCAGGTACCCACCCCTCCTCTACATAAGCTATGTGACTTAGGGGACGCTGATTCATAGTGGGCTAAACCAATCATGGGACTCCTACACACGTACTTGTCTGTGATTCACTCAGGTATCCTAGCTTCAACCAATTAGTATTCCACATTCCCTGGGTGGTGGTAAATTGGTCCAAGGATGCGCATGCGACCTAAATTGACCTCATCATACCAAAAGGAAGGACAACCAAGGAGAAGGTTCTCTCTCTTCCCCTCTAGCTGTATTGCCCCAACTGCTGTTAGCAGCCCTCTTAGCTGCCTTTGGGGAAGTTAGCCTGAGGAAGAAGTTAATGGCAGATCTGAGAAAATTACAGAGAACCAAAGGATAAACACTGATTGACTCACATCTGAAGCCCACTATACTTACAAATGGCCTTTATGTGAGATAGGTTTACTATTTCCTTTTTGTTTATTCTCATTTGAGTAGGGACTTATGTCCTATGCAGCCCCAAAACTTCCTGTCACCCATATCATTACAGCCCAGAGTGATGGTCCCCCTGGTTTGCTATGGGAGTCTTCAGAGGAGCACAGAGGATGGACACAATCATGCTGGTGGGAACTTTCCAGAGAGGGGATGGCTGAGCTGACTTTTGAAGGTTGAATAGGCATTAGCTAGACAGATATAGAAGGGAAGGGGGTTGTACAAAGAACAAGTGAACAGAGGTGTGTCAGTGCCTTTAAGGGTGTTGGGAGAGTTGTACGACCAACAAGCATGAAGAGAGCCTGGGAGGACGTTGAAGAGAGCATGGAAGGATATTCTGGTAGATGAGACAGAAGAGGTAGGCAAGGGCCAGATCATGAAGGGTCTTGCACTCCATGTGAATGTGGATTTTCTAGTGAAGGTAATTGGGAGCCATCGAAGGATGTTAAGCTCCAAAGTGGCATGATTGGTTTTGCATTTTAGACACATCACTGGTGGCCAGTGTGGATGGTGACTTGGAGAGGACAGCTCTGGGAATGGGCAGATCAGTTCAAGAGTCTCTGTTTTGCTGGAACTCTCAGGCATCCTTTCCTGGCAGGAGGCAACATGGGTCCTTTCTGGATGATTCAGGGAAGGTATCTGTGAAGACTGGAACAGAGCCATCACTGCTGCTCAAAATCTGTAAAAAGGTTCAGGTCAGTGAACATTTGCTGAGTGCTAAGACTCACTGCACAGCAGCTGGGAAAGAGCCCCTTACTTACTGTGTGGCCTTAAGCTACCTGCTTCACCTATCTGAGATGCCATTTCCTTGTCTATAAAATGAGGATCCTATGCCTACCTTTCACTGTTTAGGTGGGTCAAATAACACTTATAAGCATTTAGCACTAAAGACTAGATTAATGACCCACTGGCTGACTAGGTGACTAGATGACGTGAATAAATAGTTTTCCCCATTTATACTAAATACGTGGTGCTAGATTTGAAAATGGCAGGCCCAGTACTTTGGGAGAAGTTACCACGAGATGAGCAAGTGATTCGTGCTACCTTCTGGGGTAAGTTTAATTCCTGTGGAATTCTTTTAAATGAGGGTGGATCTGCCCTCAGGGATTGCAGAAGCTCCTGCTCAGTCATTAATTAAAACAACATGCTTCAGAGCCCTGCGAATGCGTA